CTCCCTTCCTTCCTTCCTTTTTTTCTTCCTTCCTTCCTTCCCTCCTTCCTTATTTCCTTATTTTCTTTCTTTTTTATCACACTGGCTAGGATCACCAGTATAACATTGGACATTGGTACCAATAGATGCCATCCTTGTCTTGTTCCACATCTCAAAGTTAAAGTTTAAAACATTTCACCATTAAGCTGGTGTTTACTGTAGGCTTTTTGCAGATAACCATTTTTGAAATAAGGAAATTCTCTTATATTCTTCATTGTTAAAAAAAATTTTTGGTATTTGAATCATGTTGAAGTTTATCAAACACTTTAGTTACATATATTGATGTAACCATATGTTTCTCTTTTTCTGTTAATGTAACAAATTGTTTTGAGTACATTTTTCAACGGCAAATGATTTTGAATTTCAATTTTACATTCTTAAAATAAATCACAATAAATTAAATAATATTTAATCATTTTATATATGGCAAATATGCTTTCATGATACATTTTAGATGTTTCTATTAAAATATAATTCATGTATCATAAAAGTTACCTTTTTAAATTATACTACTTAGTGGTATTTAGTACATTCACAAAGTTGTGTGTTACGGTCTGAACGTTTGAGTCCACCCCAAATCCATATGTTGAAATCCTTACCCCTAAGGTGATGACATTAGGAAGTGAGACCTTTCAAAGATGATTAGGTCGTGAGAGCAGAGCCGTCACAAATGGGATTAGCATCCTAATAAAAGAGGCCCAGAAGAACTCCTTTTGCCCTCCCGCCATGGGAGGAGATGCTAAATCTGCCAGTGTTGGTCTTGAACTCCCCCGCCTCCAAAACTACGAGAAATAAATTTCTACAGTGTACAAACTAACCAGTTTATAGTGTTTTGTTATAGCAGCCCAAATAGACTAAGACATTGGGCAACCGACACTGCTAATTAATTCCAGAACACTTTCATCATCCCATTCCTAACATATTTGAGAGATTAGACTATAATTTTCTTTCTTGTAATGTCCTTAATAAGATTTTGATATCAAACTTATGACAGTCTTATAAAGTCAGCTGGTAGTGTTTCATATATTTGTTTCCTAGTAAGGGTTTATATAAGATTGGTATTATTTCTTCTTTAAAAATAATTCACCAGAAAAGCCATATGGCCTGGAGTTTACTTTGTTGGGAGGTCTTTTTTTTTCCCCCCAATAATTTTCCTGTACCATGTAGACTTTTCGCTGAAGTATAACATATATATATAGTAAAGTGCACACATCTTAATTATGCAGTTCAATGGATTTTTACAAAGTAAACGCATCCATGTGAAAGGCACTCAGATTAAGATATAGAACACTATCGGCACCCCAGAAGCCTTCCCAATGGCCTTTCCCAGTTATCTTCCCAAAATAACCAGTATTCTGATTTATAACACTAATAGTTTTGCCGCTTCCTAAATTTTATATTAAAGGAATCGAAAAATAGGTACTCTTTTGTGTCTAGCTTCATCTCAATGTTATATTTGGAAGAGTCATTTTTGTTTTTGCATGAAGGATTGTTGGGTCTTCTTTATTATTATGTTGTATGTCATTGATGATCCTGAGTACCTTTTCGTATGTTTGCGAAGTGCCTATTCCAAACTTTTGCCTATTATTTACTAGTTTGTCTACTGTTTTGTTGTTTTGTAGAAGTTCTTAAATATTCTCATGTTTTCTAATAAATGTAACACAAATATTATCTTTCAGGCTATGGCTTTTCTTTTTTCCTTCTTAATGTCTTTTGGTTATGAAAGTTCTACATTTTAATAATATTCAATTTTTGAGTCTTTTTTCTTTTTTTTTCCCAGTTACTGCTTTTTCTATTCTACTTGAGCAGTTGGGCCAAGTGAGGTGGCTCATGTCTATAATTACAGCATTTTGGGAGGCCAAGGCAGGGGGATTGCTTGAAGCCAGGAGTTCAAGACCAGCCTGGGCAGCAAATTGAGACCCTGTCTCTACAAATAAATAAATAAATAAATAAAATTAGCTAGACTCAGTGGCACATGCCTATAGTCCCGGCTACTTGGGAGGCTGAGGTGGGAGGACCCCTTGAGCACAGGAGTTCAAGGCTTCAGTGAGTTATGGTGGTGCCACTGCACTGCAGCCCAGGTGACAAAGCCCTGTTTCTTATGGATAGGCAATTGATCTAATATCATTTATTAAAAAGACTATTCCTTGCATACTACAATGCGATACCACCATGACCATAAGTCAGGTGACCTTATATGTGGCTCTCATTCCAGAGAGGTTAGGTTTCATTGGTTTATTTGCCATACATTAGTTTATCTGCCATACTATAATGGCAAATAAACTATAGTCCTGCATTAAAATTTTAATTACTATCACATTACATTAAGATTTGATATCTGGTGGCATATATCTTCTAACTATGTTCATCTTCGAGATTTACTTGGTGATTCTTGGCCCTTTGCATTACCATATAAAATTTAGAATCAACTTGTCAATTTCCACATAAAGAATCCTACTTGAATTTGTATTAAGTTTCTGTTGACTCAGTAGATCAATTTGTGGACAAGTAACAAATTTACAGTTTTGAAGTTCAAATTTATGAATATGATATATCCTCCCATTTTGAAGTCTTCTTTAATTTCTTTTAATAATACTTGTTAATTTACATTATAGAAGTCATGTACATATTTCATTATCTTTATTTTTACATCTTATTTTTAAAATTTCATTCTCTAATTATTTACTTCTTAGATACGCACCTGTTTCATCTCAGCTCCAGCAATTTTGTTAAATTTACTTATAAATTGAATAGTTTACCTGTAGATTCTTTTGAATTTGCTGTGTAATTATGTCATCTATGAACTGACAAAGTTTTTACATTTTTTCCTTTCTTATGTCTTTTGTTTATTTCTCTTGCTTTATTGCATTTGCTAGAACCTCCAGTACAATACTGAATAGAAGAGATGATACAAGGCTACAAGGCTTTTAATAGTCATCATAAATCATGATGTATGCTGTAGTTTTTGCATGATATCCTTTATTAGATTAAGGAAACTCCCCTTTATTTCTAATTACTAAAAGATTTATAAATGTTAGTTCTAATTGATCACTATGCATGTATTGAGATTATCATGTTTCTTTTTCACTCTGTTAATGTAACATATTACATTGATTGATGTTTAAAAGACAAACACTGAATTCCTAGAATAAACCTATGTTGTTTGTGATGTGTTATAAATGATTACCCTATGTATGGGGAGTATGCGTGTGTGTGTGCAGGATTGCTCGTATTTTTATTGTAATATTGTAACATTTATTTAATATTTAAAATCAGTCAAGGTAAACCTCACTTTGATCATTGTATCATCCTTTGGAAATATTACTGGATTCAGTTTCATAATATTTTGTTTAGAATATTTGCATTTATGTTCTCAAGAGATCTTGGATTATAATTTGCTTTTATTTTAATATCCTTATCAGGTTTGGGCATCAAGATTATGTTGGCCTCACAAAATGTGTTAAAAATTATTTATTTTTTCTAGTCTCTGGAATAATTTGTGTAACATTAACATTATTTTTCCTTATATGTTTGGAGGAATTCAGTAGCGAAACAATCTGGACCTGAGGGTTTGTTGTTGCTGTTGTTGTCAGGATTTAATTTCTTTAATAGCTATAAAACTATTTATTGTTTTATATCTTATTGAATTCATTGGGGTAAGTTGTATTTTTCAAGGAATTTACTCATTTTATTTAGATTTCCTAAGTTATCAGCATAATACTGTTTATTATATCCTCATATTAGCCTTCGGATGCCTGTAAGTTCTGTAATGATACCCTTACGCTCATTAATTTCTGATATTGGTAATATCTTTTGCTTCTTCTCCCTTGATTAGCTTTACTTGGTCTTTATCAATTTTACTAAGCTTTTCAGAAAAACAACTTTTAACTTTCTTGTTTTTTCTTTAGTGTATGACTATTTTCTCTTTTATTGATTTCTGCTTTAAGCTTTGGGTACTCCTCCATTCCTAAATTCTTGACACTAATTAATTTGTTTCCAGTCTTTATTTTTCTAATATGTACATTTAACCTATAAATTTTTCTCTAAAACTGTTTTATTTATTTCCCACAATCTTTATATTTTTATTATCATTGTACATAAAAGCTTTCTAATTTCCCTTTTAATATCTCCTCTGACCCATAGGCTATTTAGAAGGGCATTGCTTAATTTCTAAATATTTAAAGGTCTTCTAGTTACCATTCTTTCATTAATTTAATCATTTGAGACCTCTTGAGATGTGTTTTATAGCCCAGAATATGGACGATTTTGGTAAAATGTTATGTATGCACTTGAAACGAATGTAAGTTATTTTGCTTCACTTTCTAGAAATGTCATTTAGGAAAATGTGGTTTAGAACAATCTTTTTGCCCTCCACTTGTTCTCTCAGTTACCAAGAGGCATGTGTAAAATATCTGTATTAGTTTCCCAGGGCTGCTGTAACAAATTACCACAAACTTGGTGGCTTCAAAGAAGAGAAATTTATTCTCTTAAAGTTTGGAGGCCAGAAATCCAGTTAAGATGTCAATAGGATTGGTTCCATCTGCAAGCTGGTTTGTGCCTCTCTCCAGACTTCCTTCCAGTGGCTGCTGGCGGTCTTCGATGTTCTTTGGCTCATAGATGCATCATTTCCTTCTCAGCCTCCATCTTCTCGTCACCTTCTCCACTGTGTGTTTCCTTTGCTCTTCTGTCTCATATGAAGACACTGGACATGGATTTAGAGGCCACCCTGGCAATCCAGGATGGTCACAGCTCAAGATCATTAACTTGATTGTATCTACAAAGACTCTCCAAATTGGGTAACATTCACTGGTTTCAGAGATTAGGACACAGATATTTTTTAAGGAGGACAGTGGTTATTCAACCCATTACAATCCCAAACTATGACTATGAATTTGCCTGTCTTTCCTCTTTGTTCTAGCAATCTTTACTTTATGTATTTTAAACATGTTATTAAATGCATGAAATTTTTGGTTTATTCTTTCTGCTGAATTGGCTATTTTATCATAATGAAATGTCTCTCTTTACCTCTCATAATACTTCTTGCCTTAAAATCTACTTTGTACATTAACACAGCTATATAAACTTTTTTTCTTGTTTTTGTATTATGTGTGTTTTAAATCTTTTACTTTCAGCCCTTCTTTGTCTTATATTTAAAACTTCTCTCTTATAAACATCACATAGTAAGGTTTTGTTGTTTTATTCAATCTTTCTTAGTTGTTCATTGGTGTGTTTGGAACATTTAAATTTAATAATAAAAATTTAAAATAAATAAATAAATTTAATCTAGTAACTGATAAGTCTAACTCTTGATTATTTGTTTTCTATTTGTTTCATGTGTTTGTTCCTTTATTCCTCATTTCTCACATTTTTTAATTTATCCAGTATTTTTATTATTCTATTTTCCCCAGTAGCTTTTAAGTTATTCTTAAATGACTACTCTAGAGATAGACATCCTTGATTTACTATAGTCTACTAAAATTGTGCTTTTACCACTCTCCAAACAATGCAAGTATCCAAACAATTAATATTTAATTCCATTTGTCTTCCCCCTCTTTTTGTATTGTTGTCATACATTTTGCAAAAAGAAAAGCTTCAGTTGAATTAAATTTAAAAGAGTTTAATTGAGCAATGAATGATTAGCAAATCAGGCAGCCTCCTGAGCCAGAGTAGGCCAGAAACTCCAGTCCAGCTGCATGGTAGAAGAGGATTTATGAACAGAAAAAGGAAAGTGATGTACAGAAAACAGAAGTGAGATACTGCGACAGCTGGATTGGTTATAGCTCAGCGTTTGCCTTATTTGGAGACAGTTCAAACAGTTGGCCACATTTGATTGGCCAAAACTTGGTGATTGGCATAAGAGTAGTCTACGGTCTGTTTACATCTTCACTTATTATAGTTCTCAGTGTACAGAGAAACCTTGAGGCTGAGCTTAAACTATGTAAGGCTTTAGGCTACACTTGATTTAACAATTTACATATATTCTATATTTCAAAGACACTATATTTCAAAATAAATAAAAACAGTATTTATTTATATTTATTTACACTGTAGTGAATTCTTAGAATTTTCATGTTACCTCAGCATCCATTTAGAATATGTTTAGCTTTCTCATGCCAGAAGCAGAGCTTAGTCACCCTTATTGCCCTTTCTAGTTCTGTACCTCCTCCCAGTTTTCAACGTGGTCGAGCCAGATATCTGCCTTATAAAACTGCCTTCTGGTGACCACCTCTCTATGGGACAGCTAGATAAAACCTACTTGACTCACATCCCTGACCTCTGTGCCCTGCATGGACTTCGCAGATATGCTGCCATGACCACCTCTCAGTCGCAGCATGCCTTCCTGGAACATGTGCCTGCTTTCTTTAAACTCACCAGTTAGAACTCCCCATGGGAGATACCTGCTGGGTCATACCCTGGTCCCCAATAAAGGCATTGGCCGATGGGTCCCCTTCTCTCTCTCTCTCTCCATTCCTCACACTGGCCAATCTTTGTGTGATCTTCAGGCGTGCCGTGCACCCCCAGCCCATAATAAAATATTTACTTGCATCTTGTGTTTCTTCTAATCATTGAAGAGGTTCTCTCTATCACAAAGATCCTAAATGAAAACATACCCACATATGAACTCTTTCTGGTGTGTTTCCTTCTTATTGCAATTCTATCAATTCTATATGAAACTATTTTCCTTCAGCCTGAAAAAGTCTCTGGCATTTTTGTATTGTAGATCTTCTGAAAACAAATTCTTTACACATTTTTCTAATTGTGGTTCCTTTGAAGGTTATTGTCCATGTTTCCTGGCTTCTTTTAAAATGGATTACACTTTAAAATAGATTTTTTACAATATTACTGTGCTGTGTCTAGGTAAGAATTTCTTTGTATTGCTTGGGTTTGCATAGTTGGTTTTTTTGTTTGTTTGTTTGTTTTTTGACAGAATTTCGCTCTTATCACCTGGGTTGGAGTGCAGTGGTGTGATATCTCGGCTCACTGCAACCTCAGCCTCCTGGGTTCAAGTTATCAACCCACCTCAGCCTCCCAAGTAGCTGCGATTACAGGCCTGTGCCTCCATGCCTGGCTAATTTTTATACTTTTAGCAGAGATGGAGTTTCACCATTTTGACCAGGTTGGTCTCGAACTCCTGACAGGAGGTGATGTGCCCACCTCGGCCTCCCAAACTGCTAGGATTACAGGCGTGAACCACCACGCCAGGCCTGTATAGCCTTTTGGATCTGTAATTTAATGATGTCTTGCATCAGTCTTGGAAAATTCCCAGTTATTACTTCTTCAAATGTTGTTTATGCTCTGTTATCTCTCTCTTCTCATTGAGGGGCTTCAGTTAAACATGTTAGGCTTTATTCTTCTATGTAGTTAGTCTGTATTTTTTAATCTTTTTATTTATTGGTGCTTTGTTCTGAGTATTTTCTTCTGTTCTAGCTTTCAGTTCATTGATTTTCCTTCAGATTCTAACCTGCTATTAATCTCACACAAATTCTTAATTTCAGCAATCATATTTTACTTTAAGAATTCTAGAGTGTTTTTATTTTCCAAATCTGCCCTCTTTCTTTTTTTTTTTTTTTTTTTTTTTTTTTCTCACTTTGTTGCCCAGGCTGGATTGTAGTGGCACGATCTCGGCTCGCTGAAGCCCCAACCTTCACAGGCTCAAGCAATTCTCCCACCTCAGCCACTTGAATAGCTGAGAATGCAGGTGTGCACCACCACACCTGCACACCCGGCTTTTTTTTTTTTGAGATGGGGTTTCGCCAAGTTGCCCAGGCTGGCCTCGAACTCCTGAGCTCAAGCGATCCACTTGATGCACTCTCCTCAGCCTCCCAAAGTGTTAGGATTACAGGCGTGAACCACCACACCCCACCCTGTTCTTTTTAATAGTTTCTAGTTCTTGCAAGTTTCAATTATATCCTTCAACAGATCTGTAGTTCTAATGGGTCAGTTTCTGTCATCAGTAATTGTGTGTGTTATTTTATCTCTTCAAGTATCCGGTTATCTTTGTGCATCAGGAATTATATTTGAAAATGTGTCTATAGAAATAATTTCAAGGCCTTAGATAACCCATCTTCTTCCAGATAGAATTTTTGTCTTGTTTCTGCAGGCATTTGGGGACATTAGCAATCTAGGACCACTCTAATTCAGTCTAGGAACTGTGATTTTCTGGGGCCAGCCACAGTACCAGTACTTGAAGTACTAGTTCCAGTCTCTGAGACAGCAGATATTTTTTCAGTTAACCCTGATTACCACGGCCTAGTTCTTGTGGCCTCAGAACACATCAGAAGGTATTACCAGGCTTTCCATTAGGGGCAGGCCCTGGACTTCCATCGTTGTCCCTTAACTTCATGAGACAATCAAAAGTCTGTTCAGGCTCTCAGTTACCCAGTCCTGATACAGCTACCCATTCCCAAACAATAAGCAGCCCAGTTGCCAAGCCCAAATACCCAGCTCTCAACTGGATTTTCATCTTCTCCTAGATCATGGCCCAGGAATGCTTTACTAGTTTGTTAGCTTTCTGCTGCCTTCACAGATAAATATTTTTGATTTTTCAGTATTTCTAGCCTTTCTTGAGGGTGGATGGTTGGAGCAATATTTTATTTGAATTGTTGAGATTACTCTTACTAGAAGCAGAGCCTGAGAAATTTTTATTTTTAATTTTAATTAATTCATTCATGTCCAAATTTATCTGATTAAATACACTCATTTTTAATTCCAAGTTTTTTGGGATTTGGGTTGAAGTAATTTTGTTCTAGTTTATAGCAATACAGTATACTATGTACTATTGCTACATTTTTAAATGTATTTAGGGGTTTTGGTGGACTAATATATGATCACTTTTACACAGATATCATCTTATGATATCAAACTTAGATTTGATGAAATGAGTTGGTAAGCTTCATATCTTTTATATATTGTGAAACCTTGAAATTACATTTGAAAGTATCTTTATGAATGAATTTTGGCAATTTGTATTTCCATTTATATTATTTAGATTTTCAAAATATTTAACCCCCAGTAATCTACAGTTTTATAAATAGTTTCATATATATATAAGTATGTTTAAATTCTTTTTCCTACTGTGTATATTTGTGTTTTCTCTCATCCCTTATAATTTATCTTTCAGCAAATGTTTTTGTATTTTATTTTTCTAAAAAAGCTAACCTCAGTTAATAACAAAAATGGAAATTAAGAAAGCAAATGGGAAAGAACAGGAGAAAACTGTATAAACTCTATAACACCATGATCGAAGAGCTATTTAAAATGAAAAGAATGTGGATCGAGTGAATACACGCATGCAAATACTATAGCAAATCATATAAGTAAGAAAGGCAGGACACTGAAGTTACAACTTTATAAAAATGTAACCTTCGTGTTAGCAAAGATTAAAAGTAAATAATGAACGTAAAAATAGCTAAAGTTTAGTGACTCAAGAGATGCTTGTCATTCATTATTTAAACTGACTGTTATTGAACTTTCTCTTCCTTTCCCCAGAAATTTCTTGTGGGCTACCACCCACCATAGACAATGGAGATTTCTTTAGTGCTAACAAAGAGTATTTTCACTATGGATCTGTGGTGACCTACCACTGCAATCTTGGAAGTGGAGGGAGAAAGGTGTTTGAGCTCGTGGGTGAGCCCTCCATATACTGCACCAGCAATGAAGATCAAGTGGGCATCTGGAGCGGCCCAGCTCCTCAGTGCATTATACCTAACAAATGCACGCCTCCAAATGTGGAAAATGGAATGTTGGTGTCTGTCAACAGAAGCTTATTTTCCTTAAACGAAGTTGTGGAGTTTAGGTGTCAGCCTGGCTTTGTCATGAAAGGACCCCGCCGTGTGCAATGCCAGGCCCTGAACAAATGGGAGCCAGAGTTACCAAGCTGCTCCAGGGGTGAGTCTGACTGAGGCCTAGAAGGGCCCTGCAAATGACACGCATTGCTGTTGGATCAGGAGATTAGTATTTGTTCAGGGGGAGGGATGTGTACTGAGTAGAGTCGGGACCAAATTTTCTAGACAGTGAACACGAAATTCAGAAGGTGTGTGTACATATACATGTGCTGAAATTGAGAAGCAAAGCTCAACCTGGGCAAGGAATATGATGTTTCTTTGGGGTTCTTATAAACAGATCTGTCAAATACTTTTGAGTATAATAATTGTTGATACAAAATGAGTGATTCCTCTGGCCAGGCACTATGATACAGGCTACATGTGAATTGTAATCCTTAAAACAAAGTTATTCGGTAGTTACCAGTTGTTCTATGTTTGTCTGTTTTGTTTTGCCTGAGATACTGTCTTGATCTGTCACTCAGGTTGGGCTGCAGTGGTGTGATCATGGCTTACTTCAACCTCTGCCTCCCTGGGTCAAGCAATTCTCCTGCCTGAGTCTCCCAAGTAGCTAGGACTATCGCTGCATGCCACCACGCCTGGTTAAGATTTTTATGTTTTTTTGTACAGATAGAGTCTCACTATTTTACCCAGGCTGGTCTCAAACTCCTCAGCTCAAGCAACCTACCCACCTTGGCCTCCCAAAGTGCTGGGATTATAGGCATGAGCCACCACGCCAGGCCTTGATGTTCTGCAGAGAATATGTGCCTTAGAGAGATCAGATAACTTTCTAAGATACTAACTTGCAGACAAAACTGGAATGCAAGCCCGCCTCACTCCAAGTCTTGGCTTTGCTAATCAGCATCCAGTCATGCAATCAAAACTTACTCTAGATACTTTCAAGGAGTGAGGGATTTCACGCAGGTTGTATTTGTCTGTTCTCACATTCCTATAAAGAACTACTTGAGACTGGGTAATTTATAAAGAAAAGAGTTTTAATTGACTCAGAGTTCTGTAGGCTGTACGGGAGGCATGGCTAGGGACACCTCAGGAAAGTTACAATCATGGTGGAAGGCAAAGAGGAAGCACGCATATCTTCATATGGTTGGCAGGAGAGAGAGAGAGCAAGGTAGAGGTGCTACACACTTTTAAACAAGCAGATCTCGAAAGAACTCTATCACAAGACAACACTAGGGTGATGGTGCTAAACCATTAGAAACCACCTCCATGATCCAGTCACCTCCCGCCAGGCTCCTATTCCAACAATGGGAATTACAGTTTGACATGAGATTTCGGTGGGAACACAGAGCCAAACCATATCACAGCTAATAGTTCACAAAGATGTTAGAAGGGCAGGAAAAGCAATAAGACGAAGGCAGAGTTACCAGAGATCAGGGAGCTGCTGTGGCTCCCAGTCTAAAGCACAGGAGCCTGTACTGATGCTGAAATGGCCAGCCCCTCCCACTGAGCAGCCAGCTCCCTGAAAGCTGCTAATACTGCAGGAGCCACCACTGCTGCCAGAATGCAGCTGATATTGTTGGAGCCAAAGTCATTGGCATCACTAGAATTGAAGCTGTAGCTGCTCACTAAAGTCATCTATACTGCCACTGTCTGCGCCACCTCTAGAAGTAGAACAGATTCTGCCATTATCCTGCCTTTTAATTTGGTATATATGCCTCCAACTGTCAGAACCTAACCAGAGCTGAGCTATCAAGGAAGACAAATGATTGTAGTTTTAAGGCTTCCATTGCTAGCAGTCGAAAGACAGTGCAGAAGTGTGAGGTTGGGGGCCAACAGAAATTTAATCAGGACAGCACCTCAATATTATATCACCAGGCATTGATTAGACAAGAGAAACACTGGGTGATGAGTCCTGAAAATGGACATTACAGCATCAGAGTATTTACATACTCCTTAAAGAAGTCATTTTTCTAGTCCAATCCTCCATCTGATGCTTGAGAAAGCTGAAGTCCAGAAAAGGGAACTGGTCTGCTCAAAGCCAAACTGAAATTATTTTTTCCATTTTATAACAGTTTTATGTAATTTAGTTGAGACCCAAATGTGTTCTGACTTCCCGAGATCAGATCAACATATTAAGAGAGAGCCAGAGCTGCCATTACAATATGTTGCGTGAAATATACACTCTCATTATGGTGACAGAAGGTCTTTTAGATTTTGTTAGACAGTTGCCCACCTTCTCACCGGAGTGAAATGAATGACTAGGCAGCACCTTGCTTCATAGCATGAAGAAGAGAGGAGACCCATAGTTCGTTACTGCCCTATGTCAGGTGGCCGCTGAGAGAAGCCTTGACAGGAAATGAGAGTAGATGTATGGACGCTGTTTGTTGCACCAGTGTGATAGGTGACGGAGGGACCTATTAGACAAGACATGGGCAGGGGCACTCCTTTATTGCCTAAAATGCAAGACTAAATTGGTGATGCGTTTCTAGAAAGGAAGTATGAAGATATAAAAAGCCATCATTCCTCCCAATTTTGTACTGGGTGAACAGTAATTGGAAGCATTCTACAAGGAACAGTCCATTGTGAAATCTTAGTTGCATGCTTTAGATGAAAAGCAATGAATTGAGGATACCTCTGTTTTACTCACAGTTCTGCAATGTGTCAGTTCTATGACTGATGGCAAGACATCTTCCTTGCCCTGTGTATTTAGTTTGTTATCAATATAATAAAGCTGTTATCTTACCTTTATTATTATATATAGATTTGTGATTATTATTCCCTTGGCCAGTTTAACAGTGAGAAAATTAGCAATACTTTGTTTCTCTCTCCCCAGTATGTCAGCCACCTCCAGATGTCCTGCATGGTGAGCGTACCCAAAGGGACAAGGACATCTTTCGGCCTGGGCAGGAAGTGTTCTACATCTGTGAGCCCGGCTATGACCTCAGAGGGGCTGCATCTCTGCGCTGTACATCCCAGGGAGACTGGAGCCCTGCAGCCCCCAGATGTGAAGGTGCCTAGACTCTTGTCTGGCTTGATATTTTTAGCTTGCGTCTTTATTCTCCACATGCCAATATTTTCTGTTCATTTTTCTTTTACTCCAGTGAAATCCTGTGATGACTCCCTGGGCCAACTTCCTAATGGTCGTGTGCTATTTCCACGTAGTCTCCAGCTTGGAGCAAAAGTGGATTTTGTTTGTGATGAAGGGTGAGTGTGAGCTTGCCTGACCTGCTGGACATTGAAAATGGGGCTGGGAATTAGTTTAAAAAGGAGAGATTTGGTTTGGCTTAAAAGAAAGACACACACACACACACACACATTCAGAGAGAGAGATGAACTTTTGAAAGTATACATAGGAAGAAAGGAAAGAAATGCACAGAACTAATAACATGAGATATGAAGAGGAAACTGGAACATATATTAACTGGCAAGTTCAAAGGCAAGTATAACTACTGGTTATGAATATATGGGTAACACATTAAGTAAAAAATATCAGCCAGGCATGGTGGCTCATGCCTGTAATCCCAGCACCTTTGGGAGGTTGATCTGAGGCGAGCAGATCACCTGAAGACAGGAGTTGGAGACGAGCCTGGCCAACATGGTGAACCCCGTCTCTACTAAAAACACAAAAGTTAACTGGGCGTGGTGGCATGTGCCTGTAATCCCAGCTACTGAGGCACGAGAATCACTTGAAACTGGAAGGCAGAGTTTGCAATGAGCCGCGATGGCACCGTTGCAATCCAGCGTGGACAACAAGAGTGAAACTCCGTCTCAAGAAAAATAAATCATGTTTTACAAGCAAAAAGAATATGAGTAATTTAGAGAGTCCAAGAAAAAAAACTGCAAGTAACAAAAAGCTTATTCTTAATAACTGGGATCATTTAAGAATCATTTCAGTAAATTCTTTAAACCATCTATAGTGAAATTTGTAATAGGAATGAAAATGTAAAAGTCAGCATTTTAAAAAAATTCAGTCATATATCATCTGGCTATTCATGGGCTCTGGGCTCTGAGCTGGGGTCCTGATGGCTGCTGCTATTTCTGGCAAGGTCATTACCTTGTTTATGTCCATCTAGTGCTCTTCACAGATGCACAGGGTGCACATCTCTACACGGGAGCTGATCAGCATGGGCAACAAAGCACCTGATCCCAAAATGTTCCACAGAATCTTGGCAGCCTCCAAATGCCAGCACCCAGTAAGAGTTAGAAGGGCATCAGGGCCCAACAGAAACTGAGAATTTTCGACGATTGCGTACAGAAATCCAGTCCTCTCTTCTTTCTTTTTTCCCCTAGAATATTCACGCTTACTCTTCAGCAGCCCAAACTGCCCTTGTGAGCCTTCTTCACGTCATCACAGATGTGGAGATGAAAGGACAATCTCTGTTCTCTCACCAGCTATTTCCCACTTTTCCAAACTGGGAGCTGTTTTACAAACTGGGAGCTGTTTTACTTGCTGTTCCAGCATCAGAGTTAGGAAGGCATTGCATTAGAAGACTGGGTTTCTAATAATGACAATGAGTGATTTTTCAGGTTATCATGGAGTAATCAGTGAAACTCCAAGCCTGGGTTCTGGGTCAAGGAGATGGCGCCCATGTCACGACCATCTTTTTCAATTCAAGCAGGACTGTCATGTGACCAAACTAGTGCATTTTGCCATTCTATATTGCTCCCTTCTGGAGACTGTGAGCTTCCAGAATAACGTAGCCTGTGCAACTCTGCCACCTGCTGGCCTCAGGTCCTCAAAATCCTGAGATTTGGGGCTGGGCCTTAGATTGTGAACCAAGAGTCCTCTTGGCTGAAGCAGCTCACTACTCACTCCTATTTTCTCCTTTAGATTTCAATTAAAAGGCAGCTCTGCTAGTTACTGTGTCTTGGCTGGAATGGAAAGCCTTTGGAATAGCAGTGTTCCAGTGTGTGAACGTGAGTAATAGGAGTAACATTTCAGGCCAATCTCTCCCCTTCATCTGTTCAGTATTTGACCCATGACCTCCCCTAATGTGGTTCTTCAATTTTCTAGTCCGAATTATTGATTTGAAAATTGCTTATTTTAATAATATTTGGTTGTGAATCAATGTGTACATCACCTGTCTTTGGAATCATCTGATCTGTCTCTGTCCTTCTGTATTCTGTGTTCTACCGCAATAAAGCCTATGGTAGTGTGCTTCTAGGAGTTTCAGGAGAGATCAGATAATGTGAAGCTTTAACAATTTACTTTGTTTCTCTCTTTCTTTCTTTTTTCTCTTCCTTTCTTCCTCCCTTCTTTCTTTTTCATTTTGTTCTTCCATCAGGTGCAATCAGTCTACAATTTTGTATGTATTTGATAATACACAAATATTAAACATGCCTTTATTTAATTATATTTATTGATCACGTACTTTGTGCCTGATGTTCATCTAGCCACTGGAGTTTTATCAATGAACAAGACGAACGAATTCCCCGTCCCCATGTTGTTTCTCCTCAGGTGGGGAGAGGGACAAGAAAAAAAATAAATTCAATGCTATGAAGATAATAGAGCAAAGCACTGAGGAATGAGGGAAAAGTGGGATGCAACATTAGACAGGGCGAGCAGTTGGAGACTCCTTAATTTCTCAAAACATGTACCTAAGTCATTTATGCTGAGAGATTCATAAATAATAAGTTGATTTTTGAAAAAAAGAACCCCATATGTTCAATAATCGGTAGACTACTGATTTCTCCTAGTCT